CAAAATCCTCCTCACCACACCGATCATTCTCTCCCCACACTCCACCCATGTGAGAAGAGTGTGGGGGCGTTGAAGATCCACTGACATCCTGACTTGTACAAGTATCGCTGGACTGGACCTTCTTCAACCTTGATAGTATCAATCTTGAGATCATCTGTGGCTCCGACAAAAATTAGTGCCTCTATCAGAGCGGAATAATGTCACTTTACCTCTGATGGATTGGAACCTTTTGAGAGCGTTGATAAAGGATGAGCTGCTTAGATCCTCTATTACTTCAATGTGTATTGCCCTGATGGTTAAGCAAGTAAACAGAACTGCCCAACGCTTACTATTGGCGCTGCCTCCTCTGGTTCTTCTTGTCACAACTTGCCATGGACCGAAAGTGTCAACACCTACTGATGAAAATGGAACTCCTGGTGTGAGCCGATCTGATGGCAGGTCTGCCATTTTCTGATGTTCCAGAGGTCTACGCAGCTTTCGACACAGAACACACTTGTGTAAAAGAGACGAAATCAGTCTTTTAGCTCCAACAATCCAGAATCCACCATTTCTGATTACGCCTCTCTGTGAGATGCCTTCCTTGATGTTGGACATGTTCATGAAAGTGTTTAGCAAGCAACTGTGCTATATGACTGCCACCAGGTATGATGATAGATGCTTTTTCCTCCGATGAGAGATTAGACCTAGAGAGTCGTCCACCTACTCTGAGTAGGCTATGTTGATCAAGGAATGGACATAACTCGCGCGATGGGGCTTTCTGTCTTTGAACAGGTTTACCATTGTCAAGACAAGAGATTTCAGCACCATACACTTCGTTTGAAGTTCTAGGAGAATAAATCTCTGTGAAGATAGAAAGTTCTGAACAGAGTCTTGCTGCCGAGAGACGACCTTCCTTTTTTCCTTTGAACGAGATCCTTAAGCCGTGCGATGGCATTTACAAGTCTGGTCCATGAAGAGAATTTCTCGAAATTCTTAACACCAAGAGATCTGTTGACTTCTGTCTTGGCTGTAACTACTTTAGGCTTCACTTCTTTGTCCGATTGAGGATTCACAAGTGGATACACAACTTCTTTTGATTCAGGATTGTCCCTGTGTGACTGTTGCGGTCCAGACAACCACTTGTTGGCTGTAAAGTTCATATCTTGTACACATCGGCGTAGCAGCATCTGCAGGGTTTGATGAAGTGTGTGAACGTACTCCACTGGCTTGGAGTAGATACTTGTCTGATCTTGTGAACACGGTTGCTCACGTAAATGAAGAAGCGCCTTGTATCATTGCCAATATACCCTAGCACTACCTTGCTGTCTGTGTAGAATTTCATATTCTTGAGTGATATGTTCAGGTGTTCACTGATGAACTCTGCAATTTCAGCGACAACACGGCAGCACACAACTCTAATCTGGGAATGGTGTTGCAGTGCAGGGGCTACTTTAGCCTTACCCAGCACAAAGCCTACATGAGTTTGTCCATCCTTCACAGCCATTAGATAGGCAACTGAAGCAATTGCCTTTTCAGAGGCATCACAATAAATGTGAACTTGTCTTGAATCTGACTCAGATGGTGATATGGGTACAAAGGCACGTGAAACACTCAACTCTTCTACAGCCTTAAGAGACTGTCTCACAGGTTCCACTCACACTGACGATCAGGAGGAAGTATTTCGTCCCAGTCTGTGCCTTTACGTGCAAGTTCGAAGAAGAATTTTGCCCTTAACTGTGAAATGGCTTAGGAAGCCGAGAGGGTCAAATAGGCTGTTTATAACCGACAGAAGACCTCTTCTGGTGTATGGTTTGTCTAGTTGATCTTCTTGAATGAGAAACCTAAAGACATCTCTGTTTAAATCCCATGCTAATCCAAGACTGTGACATAAAGGAAGGAGTTCCTTGCTGAGATCCACAGTCTTTAGATGTTTGGCGAGATCTTCCTTGAGGAAAGCTTTCATGACCTCTGTTCTGTTGGAAGCAATTTTGTGGAGGCTAGTTGACCTTCAGACTGGAGGACATTTTGTGTTCTTTTCAATAGACTTACAGCCTTTCCACAGGTTTCTACAGAGGTGAGCGTCATCGACATAGAAATCCTTTCAACGAAGCTCCTGACATCTTCATCACACTGAACCACACAGTCACTGACAGTTTTATGGAGACCATATGTAGCGACTGCGGGTGATGTACTGTTGCCAAACACATGTACACACATTCGATACTCAATGATTTCGGCATCAGGGTTGTTGTCTTCATACCAGAAGAACCTCTCAAAAAGTTGGCGATGGTCCATATTCACGAAGAAACTGTAAAACATTTTCTGAATGTCTGCTGTAACTGCAACTTTATCTTTCCTGAATCGTAATAACACACCTAACAGACTGTTAGTAAAATCTGGTCCAGTCATCAGGACGTTGTTTAGTGACACTCCATCAAATGTAGCTGAGGAATCGAAGACCCCTCTGAGTTGGGTCGGTTTCTTTGGGTGGTACACCCGAAAAGTGGAAGATACCAACATTCTTCATCAGGTCGAAGGTCGCGGTGCCTTCTCTGCATGGCCTTTATCCAATATGTCACCCATGAATTCCACGAAATCTTTTAATTTCTGAGGATTTTTCTTCAGATTCTTATCCAAAAGAAATGCTCTCTTTTCGGCTTGAGACCTGTTGTTTGGCAATCTGGTTCTGCCAAGTTTGAACGGTAATGGAGCTGTCCAGTTTCCATTGTTACCCTTTTTCATTTCAGCATCCATCATTTCAAGGAACAGACGGTCTTCTATTGACTGTCCAATCTTATTGTCATCCTTGGTTCTTTCAAACACTGTGTCACCAATAGTGTCTTGAGTGAAGATATCATCTTCAATTACCTCTTTCTCTACTTTGAAGTTATTTGGACATGATTCCAAATATGACGGACGTCCATTGGTCAGTACCGATGTCTTATTCACAGTTACGGTCTGAGAGCGAATGTGTCTGTCCCAAACAGACATCGCCTATAACAACCCATCCCAAAGGAAGACGCTGAGCAAAAGGAGAGCCCCATGGTCCTGTGCACTGTTCGAGGACATGATGGGCTTCTGGAGGTCTCTTCCTATGAGGAGAAGAATGGGAACATCCTTGTTTACTGGAAGGAAGAAGCCTGTGAGATGTTCAAGATGAGAATGATGTGCGACGACATCTGGTGACGGTATCTCTTTTACGTCTGGAATATGCTTACATTCCAGAACAGGAGGAAGTTGAAAGCTTGTCATACAATCCATGGACTCCTATCACCAATCCTGAAGCTTGTCTTCCATAAGTTGTAGTGCTTCCATTGCACGAAGATAAAAGATATGCTAGAGTCTGAGATGTCACATCTAACTCTGTCCAATAACTCTGGCTTTGCTAGAGTTCTATTACTGGTCATCAATGATCACATAAGCATGGATGGGATTCATCTTATGCCCTTGAGGGTAGATTTTAGCCAATATTGTTTTGCGCCAAGATTTCCCCTGAAATCTGCCACCACAAACTTGTGAGCATTTGAGGCAACCTTCACCTGTGTCTCCCCGCTGCGTGAGAATCCGTACCTTGAGAGGTCTTTTTCACGCAGAGAGCAGGAAACATGCATCGAAGTGCAATGTTTATCACTGTTACATTCATCACACCTTATAAACTGGGTACAGTTGTTTGCTAAATGTTTGTCCGATTCACAACACCTGAAGCACAGGCGGTGCTTGCTAAGAAACTGTTTCTTCATCATCATACGGAAAAGCCCTGAAGGTGCGACACTTTCCCAGTGTGTGATGCGCCTTATGAATGGGACAATATGGTACATCCTTGGCTTGTGGCCGTGCTTGTTGGAGAGGGATTTCCATTTTGTTCAACATCTGTCTTTTTCACTGACACTGGAGTTCTGAACCTGAAATCTTTCTGGGGAAAACTTTATCCTGAAACTCAAACTTGAAACTTGGATCGTTCAAGGTGGAAGTTATGTCCTGAATAAATTTCACAAAATAGGTAAAAGGAGGAAACGTAACCTTGTTCTGTCTCTTGTGCTGTGAGGCCCTGTCAGTCCATTTGCCTTGAATGAAGAGTGGTAACTTCTGCAATATGGGGTTGATTCCCATTGATGAATCGAAATAAGCAAATACATTCTTGAAGTGTTCATCTTCTTTTAGGACTCTATTTCACATAAGATGTCACACAAATCATACAGTTTCTGATAGTCTTTGCTTGTGACCCTTTCAAACTTGAACAATTTCTTCTTGACCGTGGCTTCAACGGCTTCAGGACTGCCGTAGCGCTCATCCAGTCGTGCCCATAATCGCTGAGTCCTTTGACTTGATCATGAGGGTTGGACGATCGTGATACTACTTGCATACCTTCCAGATTCTACACCTAACCACCTAACGAGAAGTTCCATTTCTTCTGATGGAGACAAGTTCAGTTCACTTCCTATGTTCCTAAACCCTGTTTTCCACATTTGGTATTCAGCAGGATTGTCGCTGAATTTAGTTAATCTGAGATTGAGAAGATCCCTTTTTAAAAGGTAACTTGTGAGATCTGAAGCTTGTGTTGGCATCGGATGTTGTCGAACTGGGACGAATTCCGGAGCATTTACATTGAATGAGAGGTCACGGTCCAAGCTCCTAGATCTACCTGTTTCATGGTTCACATGTCCTGGAGGAATATGATTTCCACTGAATGACTGTTGGTTTTCATCTAGAATTGTATGGCTTGGCTCAGTAGGAATTATTTTCTCCTCCGTAACCGTGAGTGACGTTACGATCTTTGACAAACGTTTGCTCCCCAATCTCCTCTTGTACCACTGAAAGCTCTGCCTCTGCTACAGCAAGCTCTTTCTTGTGTGTAAGTAACTCTAAGTCTGCCACACATTCTGCTTGTTTCAATTTCAACTGAAATTCCCTTTCAGCAAACTGTAAACGAGTTCGAGCACCTTCTGCCTTAGCCTTACTCTTAGCGAGAAGAACACTTGAGCTGGTTGAACAACGACTTGAACTTCGTGAGTGTCTGCTCCTTCCAGAACAAACGGAAGCTTCTTCAGTTTTGGACGACACATGTACATCATCAATAACTTCAACATGTTCAGTTTTTATGAACTTGAAACTGTTCACGGTATCATTAACTCTATTAGCAAGATCATCGGAAATCATGATGTGAGATGAGAGTTCTAGTGAACTTTCGTGTGTTGCACATCTCTTGAGATAGTCTACAAATGTTCTAGAAACAGAAAGGTAAGTATCCAAGTCTCCTTCTATTTTGTCTTTCAGTTCCCATAATAATTCAAAGTCATTTTCTCGTTGAGCATTCTCAGCTTCAATGAAACGCTTTTCAATGTTTTCTTTATTGAGGAAAACTTCCTGTAGTAATTCGCAAACTTCAGCTTCATAATATTCTTGCCCCTTTTCAGTCATTTTTCTCTGACGTGGATTCTTTTGCATTTTCCTATTCAAGACCTTTTACTATGCTGTTCTCCAACTATAAAGAAGAGTCTTCAACAGCTAGTTTAACCTTGACTGCCTTTATTTGTACCAAAAGTACGATCATGAAGACTAAGCATGATGAGGTCAATCACGTGTGACGTGGTAAAAGCTGTAAAATAACAAAGGAATTATAAGTGTGATATTCCTGTACATTGGATGAGTGTAATCACACCTTTAGCTAAATTATACTAAATTGTGTAAACAACACCAATACCAGACATTGAGCCTAATTTACTGGTTCAATTAAAACATTTTTGCGATATCAAAATGCCATCACAGTTCTAAATTGTTTCATAAAATATATCATACGAATGTCAAGCCCACTTGTATAGAGCCTCACGAAAGTACACAGATGTACGTTTTTACTGCGTAGCATTACCCTACCTATGTAGAGCCTCACAAATTACGGAGATGCATGTTTCTTCAAAATGTATAAAATACAGAAGATACCATGGAATAATTATCACAAGAACACGAGGAATGAATCCTGTAACACTGTAAATCAACTTACGTCTTGGTGCGAGGCTTAATGCAAAGAAAACACTTCCAAACTTGAGAACGACACTTGTCGCTGATGAGCGCATGGTACAACATGGCTGGCAAAAGGGAGGTAATCAACCTCAAACTAAGGGAAGCAACTCTAGTGAAGCTTACATCAAACCTCAGATGTCAGTGCGTGACATCACACGCTCCTGATGATGAAGTTGTTCATACAGCTCATCATTGAACAGATTCATTCGGTAAAATGTGTTATACACAAGACAATAATCCTAACTAGCCGGATAACTGGATTGGGGACATTCATACCTACCTCCACCGTTTCCCATACACATGTACGGGAATTTCCACATGCTTCCCACTCCAATTGAGTAGCCAAGATTTGTCATCATGTAATCCACTTGGGAACCCCATTGCTCGTGCTCCATTTCTGTTGAAAATGAAAGCTAAGAGTAATAGTTATATCTATAGTCGCACAGATATGTGTGGTGTGATTGAGCATGTATGAACAGCGAATATTTATGGCTTAAAATGATTTGAAAATGCAGATGAGATACACACGTATTATGCAATCGATGAATAATGTCACTGATGGGGACCAATTTGTAATTTCTAAAGCTTTTAGCGTGAAAGCCTTTCATCCACGACGTCAAGCATTTTGGTCCCAGCTTGTAAATTGTTCTGTGTTCATTTCAATATTGTCCATTGAATGCTTTAGCACAGCCGGCAATACAGCAGTATGGTTTTTAAGCGTGTTACTTTCACCACAATGTAGATGCATCGACGTTGCAGATGACTGTCGAACAGATCATACCTTTCAGCCATTATCATAAAAGAAGTTTCTTAACAAACATGTCGATTCGAATGCTGGCTGGCATCAAACTGTGTACCACAACTGATGTGACACTCCGTACATCTCATATACAGATGTAAATTGCTTCAAATAATGTTTGAAGGGTTCGAGACCTAATACTAGGATGACCTGATTTGATTTTCGCAAGCTAACTATCAACATGATGAAAACGATATAGCCAAGGACTTAGGTGAAGTGAGCTGAAATTGGGTTTAACGTCGCGCTGGAGAATATTTTGCTGATATAACGACGTGTATGCGTGTGTATGTGTATGTGGGGCTGCTTGTACGAGCCCAGACTTAAGCTGGTGTTATAGTGCTAGCTCACTGAGGTACCATGCCGCAGTGAAGCATGAATACCCCACTCAGACACATTATACTGACTCCAAGCCGACCAGTCCTTCTTGTACCCATTAATGCCGAACGCCAGGCAGGGACCAACCAGTACCATATTTTAACGTCTTTTGGTATGACGAGGCCGGGAATCGAACCCGCGACCTTCCGCTCTCCGCCAAGGACTTAGAATTATGTTCAAGTCACGTATGACAACTAACTAACACTAGGATGACCTGATTTGATTTTCGAAAGCTAACTATCAACATGATGAAAAGGATATAGCCAAGGACTTAGAATTATGTTCAAGTCACGTATGACAACTAACACACGTTGAGAATGCATTCGATTCATATGCAGTAGTTCTTGTGAGGCACAGGGCATTGACGGCTGCCCGTCTCGACCAGCAATATGGTGCTATCCCGATAACAGCATTCTATTATCATCATTATAAATGGTCCAGGATATAATTGACTATCTTTCTAAAACATTGTTAATTCAGGGTTTTGCGGCTTCCCTTCACAGAATACAGTATCATTTAATTAACATGCATATAAGAAGTTGGCATCACAGTGCAATGACCTCGTAAGGGCCATTTGTACAATCCTGTGAACAAATGGGTGGCGATGTTATATTTTGATATTATTTTGATATTTTTTTTCAAACCGATGCGAGGGAAGGAGGTTGCCAATCTTTGATATACGCAGACTGGTCATTTTCTCTTTCTTGCGCAATCCTATTTGCTGTACAGTTTGCCTGTGATCGAACCGAACGACAAAAGCGACAGTCGACCGTGACGAATTAGTTTTCACTCACAATTACCAGAGGCTACGTTTCACATTGTTTATCACATTTACATAACACATATGCAAATATATAATTATTATTTAGATATGTTAAAACTGCAAATATCCACTGTCTGCTTCGAAGTTGGACCTAGAAAGTAATCACGAACTCCTATTTTTTATAAATATATGTCTGTCTTGGTATCACTCGCAGTGAGTCTGAAATATTAAACACATCTATAAACAGAAACAAAAGGTTTAATATAAAATATCATGGGCTACATGGCCAAGAGAACATATATAAAATCACGTTTGTACAGAAGGCCAGATGGGACAAATGTTCTTATCTGAATATAATATTTATAATATGTTAATCGGGAAATTTGATTTTGAACTTTTTAACAATCTTCACAAGTTCTGTTTAAGTTTGTTAGCGAGGGATATATGTAATAGTACCTGGGTATTATGACGATATTTTTTACAATTACGTAAGCCAGTATTAACTTTGTCATTGTAATGAAACTGCTTATTTCATACTTTATGGCTCAGACATCGGCATTTGCAAAATATTCGTGATAAGGCATTTGTTTGGGCATAACACCATACTGTATTTCTCTGGCTCAAGTAGCCACTTTTATGTTGAATAATGCTTTAGAAACTGTGACCAACTACATTTAGCGTGCCAATTCTGAATCTCTTTGCATTAAGCACTGCATAACAATGGATATATTGCTGCAATCATGTGCGGCCCAAACATATGTAAATTAATTTTCACGAACATGCAATATGTTTCTTTTAAATATTTGCATGATAAGTGTAACACAATATGTATACATAATCCATATGACAGTATGGAAGCTGTTTTACAGTTAAATACAGTACATTTAGAGAAATATTTGGATAATCCCCCAGCCAAGCAAAAATAGGAAAATAAGCCTATCGAGCTTGTAGTGCTAATGTCTCCTATGCTTTAAATCTAAGTAATCTACATGTGAAGACAGTTCCTATAACACTGACTTTTCCAGGTTAACTGCTAAGCCCTATTCATAATAATAGCATTTCCATGTGTCAAGTTTTTGTATGCCTACCACAGTCTTCACATCTTCTACAAGTAAGAGCAGCACGATGCCTTTTACTCCATCCTTGACAAAAACGCCTCTCAGTCCACTTTTCTTCATTTCGTCTACCTGCTCATTTATGAAAACTATATATAACACAGGTCTTAATATACCTCCTCCGCGTACTCCAGATGACGTCGTGGACATTTCAGTTTTCAATCATCCAGTTCTTACACAAGCTGATACGTGGTGATATCTTTCAAAATACGAAACATTTCACCATGTAAACCTTTGAAAAGAATTACACGCAATAGTTTATTTATATCAACAAAGCAAAAGCCTTACGACAATTTACGAAAGCTGCATAAAATATGTGTTTGGATTTTCTCAAATACTTCTGACATAACGAGTGAAAGACAAATGCATTATCAATTGTTGAACTTTACCTCTCCAAATGCCACATAATTGTGTTTGGGTCCAAAGCTGGTTACTCCTCAACCTTTAAGTTGCGCCTAACAGGCGATATTATCTCCACAACTGCCTCTACCAAACACTTGGGAGTACAATTGACCAAAAACTTTAAACATGAAGATGCTGTAAAGGAAGCTTGTAGAAAAGCCAAATCGTGTTTTCATGCTCTAATGGGGATTGGCTTAAAACCCAAAGGTGTTAATCCCCTCATATCCGCAGATACTGTCTCTCACAGCATGATATACGGCAGCTCTCCACATGACACTATATGGCAAAATCTCTCTCAGCAGGATATACGGCAGCCCTCCACAACATGGCACTATATGGCAAAATCTCTACAAGACTTCCAACTAAGGACAAGAACTGATATGTGTCTCAGTATGATCAACTGGATGCCTATTACAGAAGAGATCTCAAAGCGTGAACTTATCCTTTTTCACAGACTGTGTTCACTCTTCCCTGACAACCTATCAAAGAAGCTCCTACACAGAAGACTCTATCAATATCTTCATAACAGTAACAATCAACAGATAGGCTTCAAACCTCACTTAATCAATGTCCTACAGAAGTACAACTTGCTGGACACTCTGAATCGGCACTTGACTATCAACGTTCTACAAAGCAAATACGAGTGGAAGAGACTAATTACCCACAGAGTCGCTACCAAATACAGTGCTGAATGGACAGAACGCACTCGCAATCACCCAGACATTGCACGATTCAGAATGCTACATGATGTTCCAAGACCAGCATCAGTTTAGATCCGAGCCAGAAACAGAGAGTACATCTGACAATATACTCACCTGGCTTCAGTGTGGGTAGCAGTTCCACAACAAACCGAGACACGATGTGACCTGTACAACACTGTGTACACTGACCTACTGAGACACGTGATGTTATCATGTGACCATCTGAAGGACCATTATGACAACTT